AACAATCCACAAAAAAACGTAAAATTAAAGAAAGCGCACTAATTTTACTAAATCAAAATAATTGTGTTGCTTCATGTTCAATTAATTTAAGTCATCCATGGTTACCCATGCTAAGATCTGAAGTAGACCAGATAAATATACACCCAAATTAAATTTACACCAAAATTATTAATTAACATTACCTTTATTAATTTAGACAATGAGATTAAGTCAAAGTCACATAATTGACAATTTGCACAGACGAATTATCAGAGCGAATTTTCATATTCTGTATTATCCTACTATTGTTACACAATTTATTAACATACTCTTTTTTAGGTTCAATTAGGTTCTTTTGATAACGATAGCAGAAAATAGCTATCGAAACGTCAAGGCAATTTTTCAAATTAATTTCTTTACTAATTAGAATTTTCTCTTACAGCTTGAGCCTAAGTGTGCCGCAGGATACCCTCTAGCTGATAATTCTTGATTACTTTTTGATAAATAATTCGTTCTTATTGCGAAATAGGAGCACTATTTATCAATATGTTTTCATCTTGTTTAGTCTATTTGTCTCGGAAGAATCTGTGATTGGTTTCGAAGCTGGTGGGTCATAAATTATGACCGAATGACTTCTGTTCCTTTATGAATGCAAGGACTGACAAAACGTTTTTGAAAACCATGAAAATTTTCTAAAATTGTTTTACATTTTACATCATTTTCAGCGCACGCACGCGAGGAATGCACATTTTAAGGGTTTTTTGAACGTTCACGATCTTTAACCTACGATTTCTTCCTTATTATTGACACAAACACTTTATAAATGCACATTTGTGACCTTCTTACGTCGAAAGGAATCGATTGAGCTCAAAAAACACGCAAGTGAAATTTTGTTTTTTGGCTGAAATTTTTCCAAGGGTGGAGGTCGAGTTTTTGCAAAAATGAAAATGATCTCAAAATGTCTTAAATTTCACACCATTTTCAGCTCACGGACGCGAGGAATGCATCGAACTCATTGAAAAACATGGTAGTTTCAGATCCGAAATCCTAGACATTTTCGGCACAGTTTAAGTGTTTTTTGGGCGTTCACGATCTTTAGCCGACAATTTATTCCTTATTATTGAGCCAAACACTTTATGACTGCATTTTTGTGACCTTCTTACGTCGAAAGGAATCTTGGTCAAAATAGCGCTTTTAAACCCTGAACTTACCATTGCATGGTGAAAACGTTTGTTAACGGCGGCTCGTAGCTACGCGAACCATCTTTGGCTGCATTCTGAAGAACATCCAAATGCTTTGATAATCTGGGCAGTTTGCTGCGAAGAAGTTCCCGAAACACTGCCATGTCCACCGATAGACCTCTTAAACTGTCCGCAAAGTACGAATCGGGTAAAACGCCCTCAATCAAGTAGATCATCAGTTTGAGGGCGTCGCTTTCACACCGATCGGTCACTTGGAGAATTAAAGCCGCCAACATGTTGAATCCCTGACAATATCCTGCGATGAAAAACCGCATGATTAGAACAAAAAACGGGCAGCAGATTCGTCTTACCAACTGCTTTATTCCATCGGGCATAAGCCAAAAGGACTTTTTTTAGCAGGGCCTGATTTTCCTGTCCATCTTCGCCGCAGAAAAGACTGCAACCGGTTCTGTGCAGGTCTTTGACGATTTGAATGCCCAGTTCAGCGTCAGTTGGATGCGACCATTCGCTAAAGCAGAATTTTTCTGTTTCTGACCAATCGATCTGAAAATCCAATAATAAAATTAAATCACGGAGAACTTCCTACAATTTTCATGATTTCTCCTCTGGTTGTTGTTGCTGATTCTCGCTTTTATGGCCTAAAGTGTCTATGAGCTGTTGTATTTTCAAATCCTTTAAATTTCTTCACTAAACTATCGCACTTTAAAGTTGCAAGAAATAGATAGATCCTCGTTTTTCTTTCGCAAAAGTCTCTGTTTTAAAGGGCGAACAACGCACTTACATCCTGAGAGTCCAGATGTCGTTCGGCCATGGTCAGCCAAAGTCTCCGGCGAAACTCTGCAGGAATTCCTCCGGGCAATTGAGCGACCATTTTCATCGCCGCCACCCATTGAGAAAATCCAGATTCGCCTGGAGCCGGTTGAATGGTGAAACGCATATTTGCAGGTTCAGAAGCACCTGGAAAAATGCATCTTTAGTGCGTTTGAAGGTGGCAAATGTTTAAAATAAGTTCCCAACATAAAAATCAGCATTAATAAACAGCAAAATTTGAAAATAAATAAACGATCAAGACAAGTCTGTGTCGTACACTTACAAGTTATGAACTGGACATTTCGATAGAGAAAAGAAAAGTATATGGCACACATTTATTTTCTCTTTTTATTTTATTAAGTCTTTTGTTTCAATTATTGCCTACAACTTTGTCCAATTTGTCTATGTTACTTAGTAAATTCCCCAGCTGGACTAACTTCGCTGTTAAACCTTCAGCTGCCCATAAGGGATTTTTCGAGCAGGAGTCGGTTCAAAGGGAAACTTCGCAAAGTAACCCAATTTCCACCTATTATTAGATGCCGCAGAAATTGCACAGCAACTCAATAACTGCAAACGCTTGAACATCAGTGTTAAGCTAAATTTAGCTTGGATGAATGGCCGTTATTGAATTTTAGGTCGAAATGATAAAAAGCTTAAAAGTCTGTTATTAGTAACCGATTGCAAGGCGTTCTTCGGCTGAATTTGCACAAAATCAATAAAATATTCATTTTTAATTTAAATTCAGCAAACGTGCCGCACTCGGCTGTTTTTCCAGATTAAGAGCTCGGTTGCTTCTAATTTTTGGACCGAGGAAACACTTATTTAATTATTCGCTGTCCTGATTTAAAACGAATTCATAATTTAACTGTGTATGATACACACTTATACTGCTACGTAAGAGAGTCTGGAGGAAATTTGCATGCAACGCGACAAAAAAAATTTGCCAATTTACCACGTTTCGTTATTTTCAGCCTTCATCATCAGTAATCAAAACTTAAAAAATCCATTAAACGTTGCAGCTTTCTTGCGGCAAATCTAATGAATATCTGAACAGTTCTGCAAGCTTGGACAGAATACGTAATTGGGAATTTTGATTAATTTTTAATTAAACTGTCCCAAAGCAGGCATGCCGTGACACAAGCCGGCCGATTATTCGCGAATAATACAGTATGCAAACTGAGCCCGACCTGATGAGATAATTCCATTTGAACTAATCAAGTTGAAATTGCGCCCTGATATCTCACGATCGATACCAGTGAATTATTTGCTCCACTTGATCTGGTGCGTTATCTATTATTTTCTATCAGTTCCGCTTTGCTTCCTATTAGCTTTTTTATTTACTGCTAATATTTTTTACTTTAGCTGGCAAGAGCCGCTAATATAATGCAAATTTATCCACAAAAAAACACTAAAAACTTGTATTAAGTTTACGGTTAATGAAAAGCAAAATTAGCAGGAATCTCACGCGCGGTTGCCTTAATACATACATATTTTTCAGCCTGTGCCCTGGGAATACTTTATAAATAATGCATGCTTGCATGATAAAGGAAAGTCTATTTTTAACGACGCCGGGTTTATTAGTTTTTTTTTCTCTTCACGTGTATTATTTAAATTCATTTTTCTACTTCAACCCACCAACATTTTTTAAATTGATTTGATAACGTTGTTATTATTATTATATTAATTAATAATTGTTCTTTTGATAACGATAGCAGAAAATAGCTATCGAAACGTCAAGGTAATTTTTCAAATTTATTTCTGTACTAATTGGAATTTTTGAGGCGAAATACCCAAAAAGAAGTTTGTAAAAAACATTTTTTAAATTTACAGCTGAGTTTTTAAGGCTTTATTTGCATGTTTTCGACTTAGTGTTGCTTTATCCATATTGGAATTATTGTTTTTTGCTGTTTATTAATTTGTTTATTCAACCTAAGTAGAACGATTTTCAGACAGATGAAATGGTCAACGTTCTTTGTGGTTTTTTCGTGAAATTTCAGTAGGAAAATTTGCAGAAAGTGAGGTGAAAATCAAGCGGTACAAACTAAACAACATTCTGGCAGCGATTCCATTTCCATATACAGGGTGTTGAATTAACAGAAGCCGCTCTGCGCAAATAAATGATGATCCGCTTTTTCAGGCGATTTTGTTGACATTTTTCAGCACTATTTAGATCCCCTTGGAAGAAAATTTGGCCAATATTTCTTAATACAAAAGAGAGATAAATAGCTAAAACCACTTTGCTTATGGATAACGCCTAATGTATAAAGGCTGCTGTATCAACCAGTGAAAGGCTGTCACGTACAGTAACGAACAGGCGCTTTTATAGACGTTGCGTAAAAGTGACTTTTATAATGGAATAAATACAAACTAAATAAGGAGTTCAATGGAATCTTCTATATTATTGGTGCAAGTCTGCTGTGAACCCAAAGGTTTTCTCCGCTGAAAAATTGATTATCAAAATCCTCTATCGAAGAAGTATTTTTACCAACTCTTCAAGCTCGTTATCTAGCTTGACAACATTTCATTCAATCTTTGTGGCTGAGAAACCTTTACCAGTAGCAACTGGGTTTCAAGTGAAAATTCCTTCTTAATTCAACTCATGAATATGAATGTTTTTATAGGAAATCAACTGAGCTTACTGGAACTTTTCAAAGCATCGCCACCAGCCTTTTTGAAGGAACTAAGAAAACCACTCATTAGAACATCGTTCGCACCGTCACATTGCAAAACACGTACTGAATAAGTGCATATTTGACGTAGCACAGTTATCACAATCAGGTGGGAAACTCAACGAGGACCAACCAACTGTTCGGGCTCTCTTTTCAACATGCGGACTGGAAAATCGATAGAGATGGAGCGTAGGAGGGCGATTTCCAGCCGAGGAAAATGCGAACAGAAGCTTTCGATTTCCCTCTGACTTCCTTATCAGCGATTGCTAACAATCGAGCCTTCATTGCTGGAAATTTCACGCAAACCGGTTGTGCAGATAAAAGAGCTTTGGTTGCACCGAAATCGATGCCGGCCTGTACTTACGTTCGTAAAGCATTCTTGAAATAATGCCGCAGGTTGATTGTTGTTGGCGACGCAGGGCGTCGCGACGCTTCAACTGCCGAACCAGGACACTACCAGTGCGTCCGATGTGTTCTTGTAGGCAACCGATGATCGTCTGCAGCTCGTTTACATCTGCAGATACAAAACTGTTTAAAACCCGGACGAATACCCCAAAACCCTCCCTATTCTCGCCTTTCTCATGCAGATCCACGACTTCAATCCAGGACCCTCTCTGGCTCTTTCCCGAAGTAGAGTAGTAGTCGGTTGAAAAGTTTTGTGGGCTGTTGTAAATGTCCATCAACAGTTCGTCCACTAAGGCGCTGGCACGGCGCTGATCATGTTCAGGATTCGGCAGCTGATCCTCGTAGTTGCAAGACTGCGTTCGTCTTAACTGGATTCTACAAGAGAATTTTTAAGCAACTTTGCCAGTTTTTCGTGCCATTTTCCAGTACTTTTCCCGTCTCTTCTCGAACACTTGAACGGGGAAACCGACGGGTTGCACCAAAAGAGTAGCGGGTTGTAAGACCACACCGGGGTTTACGCAGGTTGTAACCATGTTTCCAAACATTTCGCGATGGCACAATTCCAACTGTTGAATCCTGTGAATAGTGGCATGGTTTAGATTCGTGGCTATTTATGCGGGTGGGAGCTACGGCCTTTTCAAAATGTACCCAAGCGTTTATAAACCGGCGTTGTTCAAAATGGGGAAAATACCCTCTACCAGGCAGAAAATGATCGCAACTGAAGACAACCAGTGCTTATTTAGGGTGTTTAAACACTGAATGCAACCGGTAAATAATTGGAGCTCTGCAAAGCCGTAGCTCTTTAGTCTGATAGCGCGTATCCGTTTTTCCGCTCTGTACAGCCGATATGGAATCGTTGAATTTGTATGTAGTATTTTGCGCATTTCGGTTATCAAAACAAGGGGTCTTTGCATAATGTTTTCAGGCTCTAAATAGTAATGGAAACTTAACACTCTGCACTCCAGTTCAGGTGTTTTTAGTCCAATCCTAGCTCTTATTGAGAAAGTCTAAATTTGCCTGAAAAGTGGGCGTTTATATTATCTGCAATGCCCGCTACTTAATGGTAAAATTGCACATAAAATATTGAGCTCTCTGCTTAATTAATAATCTGTAAAATTATGCAGCTGCATTTTTCCAGAATCGCTTCAATTCCTTGTAAAATGTTCACCATGAACTATCCGTTTTCAATATGCATCAGCAAATCGTCATTCAAGATCAGTTTCTGATGTCATTGAAACGGCACATGATCAATATGAGTCATATCGAAATAAATCTTAGTTTTATTTTTTTTTGTTAATGTTAATGTGGTATGAGTCGTTTTGTTACTCACTTATTGTGCAAGGATTTTATAATTTCAGTAGAAAGATTCACCTACTACTAAACAAGCCGGTTTATCAGCATTAATGTGCCAAAAGTTCTTATCTATTGATGCCACTGCTTGCTTTTGCTACTTATACTTCAATAATTTTTTTAGATAATAAAATTTTAATGTTAATGACTCAGCTTTTCTATGTTAATGCAGTGCAATAAACGCACATTTTTCCTTTTATTTTAACACTGTATTTATTTATCAAAGACTCGAAGAAAGTCCCGTGTATTGAATTGTATTAAAGCCACTTATTTCTTGGCAGAGACCTTAACGTGCTCAACTGTAATGAATTGAGCTCAAAAAAGCATTCTTGAAGTTCAGGTCCGAAATAATTGACATTTTTGAGCCGTTTTAAGCGGTTTTTGATCTGTCGCAATCTAAAATCAATTATTCCTCATTATTATGAACTTAAATATTGAAAAATTGCCCATTATAAAGCTGTTTAGGTCGAAAGAAATCCATTGAGTTCGAAAAACACACGAGTAAAATTTTGATTTTTTACCGAACATTTCGTACGGTGTGGAGTTCGCTTTTCCCAAAAATATCAAGTCCCTTAAAAGGCCTCGAATTCTACAAAAGTGTCATTACAAGAAAAAGGTGAATGCAAAGCGCTCAATAAAAAACACTGTAAACGACCAAAATAATTAACATTTTTGACCTATTTTAAAGGGTTTTTGATCCATCACTATCTTTAACCGCTTTTACCTTTCTTAATAAGGACTCAAATACTTAAAAAATGCATATTATGTAGCGTCTTGGGTCTAAAGCAGTCGATTGAGCTCAGAAAACACACTAATAAAATTTCGATTTTGAAACCAAAATTTCGTTAGTGGTGGAGCGATTTTTGCGAAAAATATTAACTCCATAAAAATGCCCTTAATGTTATATAATCATCGTCGCAAAAAAGCGAGTAATGCAAGGCGCACAATAAAAAACTCTTCAAAAGCACGCAAAAACCCATATTTTACCCCTCTAGTTAAACGTTGCTTTTTGTGATTTTGGTTTTTGAATCTTGTTGGCAATTAAGATTATTATGATATTTATTCATCGTTTTTCTTCTTACCTTCGATCTCCCATTTAGTTTTTCTACACTTGCGCTCTAAAACTTAAAACAATGTCACTAGGTTAAAGCCACAATGACAAAGTAAAATGTCATTGAACTGTCATTTTCAATCTACAATTTGATTGGTTTGGAGGCCGACAGGACATAGTTGCGTGTCGGCAACCACCAATACCGACCAGTACACCAATATAATGGTATTTTTCATTTGAATTCTTGCTTTTGCGTACAATTGATCACATTTTCATAATAATTAAAGTTCTTTCTGAAAATTTCGCTAATTTTAACGCGATAGAAGAAAAATATTGAATTTTTTGCTCACACTCAAGCAACCGCTTTTATTCTTTTCATCAGTTTCAAACAGTGGCAGCCTTTTATGATTTCTTCGCTTTCATATGAGCTTTGTTTCATTCGCATATCTGAAGGAAAAACTCTTGACCATTTCCTTCCCTAAATAGTGGGAAATTAATGAAAACTCCCACATTTGTTCTGTTTTTATTCCATCAATATAACACTATACAATATGCTCATAAACGTAACATGGTAATAAGCAGAATAACTACACAACCTTATTGCACTAGACCTCCAAAGAGTTATCGGAAAACATATCAAGATGGACACTAGAGTGGAAAAATAACTCGTTTCTAGCCTATCGGCTTTCTACAGTTGACGCTGGTAAAGTGGGAGGCCCAGTTAGTTAGAAGCTCTCAAAGAGATTGAGGAATAAATGGAATTGCTTTTGTGCTTAATTATTTAGCGTCGCATTATACATTTTTGCTTTGTCCTTTATTATGTACCTGGAAATTCACTACGATATCTCATGTAAAATCTATTACTGAATTATTGTTACGATTAATCAATGGAACACCATAATCTGAAGGAACTGAAGGTTAATAAATGACAACAAATTTAACAAGAAAACAACGCGTAATTCTAAGGAAGAAAACATTTAATCAGTTTAGGCAGTCCATACAGTACCAAGGAACTGAACGGTAGTTTTAATTAATCGCCCTTGTTGTACGTTATGTGTAACTAACAAAAAATTCGTTGCCATTTGCAAATGATAAATCAACTTACGTTCCTATAATATAACGTTTCTATTCTACCACATACAGAGGTGCATCATCTTTAATAATATTGTCTTTTGTATTAAATAACTACGCAAAATTAACCATTGATGAATAGAAAATTTTCCAAATTTCAACAGACACCGATAGCTGCAGCTACATACGTGTTAAAAAATAACAAGGTCCTGCCGCTACAAGTTTGCTTTCCTAGCGGCAGTAACTTAGCCCTAGGCAGTGGATAACATGAGTTGTGTTATATTGCTTAGCAAATATTACATTTATTTAAACATAAATTGGTAACTACACACTTCCATTGCCGCTGATTTTCGGGTAGCTTATCAATCAGCAACATCTGCGTTATTCGCCAGTTACCTTAAAGTTAATATAAAATGATCGATGTATGTGATGCCTTAATTTAAAAGATTGAGTGAGTTGAGTGAAAATTACATTAACGATCATCTAGGCTTGAGATTAGTTGATCGTATTCAGTCCTTCCAGATGTCGGATCTTGAAGCAGAAACATTTCCGCTCGTTCCTTTCCTAGTTTCCAATATGTTGAATTAGTTTGAACCAACAAAAATGCTCCTAGGAACCAATGGGTTCTAAATCCCGCCACAAAAAATTGGTGTGTTTTTTCACTTTGTGAGTTGCGTCGAAATATCATGGGATTAAACAACATGAAATAAAAAACGTTGCTTTTATAACGAAAAAAGTTACATATCGCCGAAGATTCCGGCAAAGGTTTTCCTGAGATTTTTCATTGTGTCTTCAGTATCTTCCGGTACCGAAGCCTGCTGGCTTCCCTGTCTTTGGAAAGGCCTGGGCGGTGGTTCTGGAAGGCGTCCCGTGCTTGGGGCGCTACTAATTGTGCTGGACTGAGACGCTATAAAGAAGAATAAAAAATAAACGTCCTGCAATTTTATAATGCAGCAACAGAATTTTTGAATGAAACAGCAAAGAAAGGTTTTATCTGATGGGATATATTTTAGTGAAAATGCTTTACGCAATTCATTGAGCACACACTCTGAGAGTTTTATTGAGATTTTTCTCTGAGAGTATTTTTGGTGATTTGTGAGGAATTTTTGAAGATGCCGAGTCGTCTATTTCGAGGGCTATTTTTTATACATTCAGTTGATTCAAACTACTTTTTCTAGGTAGTCGATCTTTAGCCGACGATTTCTTCCTCATTATTGACCCAAACATTTATTATAAATTCATATTTGTGAACTTGTGAAGAAAACTGCCACCACTTCCTTATCGATGGTTCACTTTCTAAAACGGCCATTTAGTTCTCTCGGGAATGATGAAAAAATGAGCGTTCTGTAACTCTGTAGCTCAAATGGTTCTTGAGAAACTTCGAAAAAGCAGCGTCATGTTTGAGTCGATTTTGCAACTCAGAAAAAAAACACAGAAATCTAAAACTTCTTGAAATCAAGACTTTTTTGAGAAAACTGCCAACATTTCCTTATCAACGGTTCACTTTCTAAAAAGACCATTTAGTTCTCTCGGGAATGAGCCAAAAATGAAAGTTCTGGCTCATTTTGCTTCCGACAAACGAGCAAAAGCGGGACGGAAAACATGAAATTTTGGCATAATCTTGCACCTAAGTGTCCGATATTCAAATTTCGCTTTCTGGGTCAAAACTACTCTAATTTTCTCGCTCACGTTGTTACGACTGAATCGACTTTTCAATTCGCTATCCAACGATGCCAAAAGGAACTTTGTAGCTCAAATGGTTCTTGAGAAACTTCGAAAAAAGCAGCGTCATGTTTGAGTCGATTTTGCAACTCAGAAAAAAACACACAAATCTTAAACTTCTTGAAGTCAAGACTTTTTTGAGAAAACTGCCAACATTTCCTTATCGATGGTTCACTTTCTAAAAAGACCATTTAGTTCTCTCGGGAATGATGCAAAAATGAGCGTTCTGACTAATTTTGCTCCCGAGAAATGGGCAAAAACGGGACGAAAAACATGAAATTTTGGCATAATCTTGCACCTTAGTGTCTGCTATTCAAATTTCGTTTTCTGGGTCAAAACTACTCGACTTTCCGCACTAGTGTTGTTATAACTGAATTGAATTTTCAATTCTCTATCCAAGGATGCCAAAAGGAACTCTGTAGCTCAAATGGGTCTTGAGAAACTTCGGAAAAAGCAGCGTCATGTTTGAGTCGATTTTGCAACTCAGAAAAAAACACACAAATCTAAAACTTCTTGAAATCAAGACTTTTTTGAGAGAACCGCCAACAGTTCCTTATCGATGGTTCACTTTCTAAAAAGACCATTTAGTTCTCTGGGGAATGAGCCAAAAATGAATGTTCTGGCTCATTTTGCTTCCGACAAACGAGCAAAAGCGGGACGAAAAACATGAAATTTTGGCATAATCTTGCACCTAAGTGTCCGATATTCAAATTTCGCTTTCTGGGTCAAAACTACTCGAATTTTCTCACTCACGTTATTACCACTGAATCGACTTTTCAATTCGCTATCCAACGATACCAAAAGGAACTTTGTAGCTCAAATGGTTCTTGAGAAACTTCGAAAAAAGCAGCGTCATGTTTGAGTCGATTTTGCAACTCAGAAAAAAAAACACACAAATCTAAAACTTCTTGAAGTCAAGACTTTTTTGAGAGAACCGCCAACAGTTCCTTATCGATGGTTCACTTTCTAAAAAGACCATTCAGTTCTCTCGGGAATGATGCAAAAATGAGCGTTCTGGCTAATTTTGCTCCCGAGAAATGGGCAAAAACGGGACGGAAAACATGAAATTTTTGCATAATCTTGCATCTAAGTGTCTGCTATTCAAATTTCGCTTTCTGGGTCAAAACTGCTCGACTTTCCTAATTTTCAATTCCCTATCCAGCGATGCCAAAACGAACTCTGTAGCTCAAATGGTTCTGGAGAAACTTCGAAAAAAGCAGCGTAACGTTTGAGTCGAATTTGCAACTTAGAAAAAAACCACGCAAATCTAAAACTTCTTGAAGTCAATACTTTTTTGAGAAAACTGCCAACATTTCCTTATCGGTGGTTCACTTTCTAAAAAGACCATTTAGTTCTCTCGTGAATGATGCAAAAATGAGCGTTCTGGCTCATTTTGCTCCCGAGAAGTAGGCAAAAACGAGACGATGTTTAAATCGATTTTGCAACTCAGAAAAAAAACACACATTTTCGCGTCGAAAAGAATCGATTGAGCTCAAAAAACAAGCATGTGAAATTCTGATTCGACGATTTCTTCCTTATTATTGACCCAAACACTTTATAAATGCATATTTGTAACCTTCTTAGATCGAAAGGAGTCGATTGACCTCAAAAAACACGCGATGGACGGAGATTTAGTGATTTGTGGCGGATTTTTAAAAATCCTACTCTCCGTTTTGCCACTATTCTTCACAAATCGCCCAACCTTTTCTGGCTGTTAATGTTCCACCCAACTCAAAAGACCACACTTTGCTCTTTGTAACCGAGAATCCTCATTGTATTGGCAATTTTCACAATTTAATCAGGGGAAAATTAAGGCCAAAGCCTGCAGTTGCAAAGCACCTTCAGCTAGAAAAGTTGGGATCAATAGTGAGTGGTTCCGGTGAAAAGTGCTTCCAGCTATAAATCTGTCGAAGTTTAGCCTGCCTGGGAAATTTGTCGCTTAAAAATTAATGGCAGTTTAACGGTTAACGAAAGAACGACAGATGGGTTGGGATACTTTGAGCCTTTATAATGCAGATCACGATTGCCACTTATTTACGTCGAAAACGTTTTCCGTATTGCAATGAAATGAATCTGCAAATGTTAACCATTCCAGTCACGCCAGAACAATCAGGGAATGTACATACTCTGAAACTATACCTACATAACTGACAAAAGGCTTCATTATGAGAATAAATCCCGCAAGGCTCCGTACCTTGACTATCACGTCTTCCAATACTGCTGAGCGACGGATGATCAGAAGTGGACAGTGGTGGAGTATCCGGATGGGTCAGACTGCTGATACTGCTCAGAATTCCTCTAGGGCCAACTGGAGGCGGAACCGGCTCTTCGCCTCCTGGGGGAGTTTTTGGTCTGCAAATGGCCTGCATTCTTGAAGCCACCAGATCAGCGATGTGTCTTCGATCTTCTTCCTGCGAGTCGCCGAGCAGAGTCAACGCACTGTCATTGACCTGCAGAAAATTGTAGCATTGTTTGGTCAGTCAATTTGGGTAAAGAAGCCGGAAGATCCCACCTCTATAATGAATTCCTTGCCATCCTTGGAAACAACCACTTCCAAGGCACATATATCCAGACCTCCAAATAGATCAGCCACTTCGTCTACCCAAGTCCTGTACCTATCGGGCATGGAGATTTGCTCAAGCATGGCACTTCCAGTGTTGGTCTTCCAGCAGCCTGAATTTATTGGGGAAAGTTAACGCTTTAAACTCGCGAAAGGACACAAAATAATCTACCAGAAATGGATTTTCGCATGAAGGCTTTGTAGTTGTTCCCAATCTTCTGCACGTGGATATCGTATTTGGAGTCGACGTACGGCTCAACGGTACAGTAGGTGTTTGCTACCGCCACCACGCTTGCCATGTCCTGCAAAATTGGCTAATTATCTGCAAAATTCTCCGATGAGTTTCACTTACTTGGAAATCGTTAATGTTGTCCACCTTGACTTTTCCTAGGCCGCCATGTGCGTGCCCAATTTTCAGCACAACTGGAAATCGAGGCGCGGTTATCTGAAATAGAGGAATTTGGATTGCAAAGAGGCCCTAATGGGTGTTTAGCACGTTTTCTCGAATTGTATAATTGATTGTGCCACAGGAAAATCCCACATTATGGAGCGAAGCGACCGATGTGAACGTGGCCAATAGATTCCTAATCTTTAGCCAAAAGTTTGATTATTTTTTCGTCATGGTTAAGCTTCCAAATTAGTTCCTGTTTTTATGGAATTTAGTATTTTGACGCTGTTAACCGTTAGGATCTTTTGGAGCATTTCACCAGCAGCATATTCCATAGGAGATGTTTTCTTATGGGGTTATTCAATAGCAGGATGTAGGTCAGTCCTGATGGCGTCTTTGTTGAAATGGTCAGCGCCTGGCAGTCGCTTAGAGCGCTGTTAAACTTTATTGAACATCCTGTTTCCAGACGAGTTTAGCATTTTGTTAATCGGGAAATTTACGGAAGTCGATGCAGTTTCAGATCAATTAAGAGAGAAGTCGATTGCGATGTTTTCCCCCAACCAGGCCAACCTTCTTTAAACGAAGTCTGGCCCTTAAGATTTTAGAGGTGAAATTTTGCCTCCCTTCGAACGCAGGAAGAGAAGCGAATTTTATCAGTTTCTTGACCGCCGTAAAAAAAAATTCTTCCTGTCGATTTGAGTCGATTTTGCAACTTTTGCAACAAAAAAAATACACAAATCTAAAACTTCTTGAAGTCAAGCATTTTTTGAGAGAACCGCCAACAGTTCCTTATCGATGGTTCACTTTCTAAAAAGACCATTTAGTTCTCTCGGGAATGATGCCAAAATGAGCGTTCTGGATAATTTTGCTCCCGAGAAATGGGCAAAAACGGGACGGAAAACATGAATATTTTGGCATAATCTTGCAGCTAAGTGTCTGCTAATCAAATTTCGCTTTCTGGGTCAAAACTACTCGACTTTCCTCACTAGTGTTGTTATGACTGAATCGAATTTCCAATTTTCTATCCAACGATGCCAAAAGGAACTCTGTAGCTCAAATGGGTCTTGAGAAACTTCGGAAAAAGCAGCGTCATGTTTGAGTCGATTTTGCAACTCAGAAAAAAAACACACAAATTTGCGTCGAAAGGAATCGATTGAGCTCAAAAAACAAGTATGTGAAATTCTCATTCGACGATTTCTTCCTTATATTGACCCAAACACTTTATAATGCATATTTGTGACCTTCTTACATCGAAAGGAGTCGATTGACCTCAAAAAACACGCGATGGACGAAGACCAATTAAGAGAGAAGTCGATTGCGATGTTTTCCCCCAACCAGGCCAACCTTCTTTAAACGAAATCTGGCCCTTAAGATTTTAGAGGTGAAATTTTGCCTCCCTTCGAACGGAGGAAGAGAAGCGAATTTTATCAGTTTTTTGGCCGCCGTAAAAAAAAATTCTTCCTGACGTTTTGCCAGCACCAGTGCATCTTCAGGGCCGGTTGCATCAGCAATAAATTCTTTGCCACGATAGCCAAAAAGTGCGAAAAACTCTCCAGTTTCATCAAGGATTTTACCAGAAAGTTGGGCAAAGTGTGGACATCAACCTTGCCCATTTATTCAGATTATTATTGTAGGCACTTTGCAACAATAAGTCCAGGCCTTCTTAGCACAATAAATGATTAATATTGAGTAAACCACTTTGTTTTTTCAGTTTCACGCCGATTAAACCGCTGACTCATTCGAGCTTTTGAAGTGCAAACATTTTGAGCACAGTTTCATAGAAACTGAATAAAAATTGCCGTCCGCTCAATTGGGAGGCAAAAATGAGGCAAGTTTAAGCCTTTTTTGTGTAGTAATTAGTGTTTTGCTATCGATTCATCTTGGAGTGTTGGATGCACAGGAGAAAGCTGGCATTCGAACAATCCATCCAATAGGATCATTAGCTACACGGTGTGCAAAACCCGAATATAAACATTGACTGCATTTTTGGAGAGGTGGCATTATTTATAAACCAACAACCAACGTAAATCTTATATACAGATTGGATTCATTTCAGTTAGTCGTTGTATCGCTGCCGGTAATTTGTCGGTCGCGTCGAGTGAAAAATAACGAACGCGATCGTGTTTTGAACCAAACGAGCGCACTTTTAAAATTTTTGGATTGTTTTCCATAGGATTTCTTAATAGAGAGGAAGCCAAGTAAGTGGTGTGTCTAGTTTGTGATATTTTTGATATTGGGAACATTTCATTGCCTGAACTTCTGCTGTTTTTTTTTGCCAAATATTGCAGATTTTTCTATGAAAATTTGAAAGACTATTGTTCTATCAACTAGAATCAGTTAATCTGGAGCTAGGAAAACAGAATTTTTGAAACTCTTGCAGTTTAAGCAGCGCGCTCTTAAGGCTAGTTGAAGGTTGAAAAGTTTTCTGCAACAAAAAGGAAATTTTCTTATCATCCCAAAGCACGTTTAAATTAATTTTAATGAAGTAAGCGTAAGCTTAAAAAATAATTTCTGCCAAGGCACCTTTCTCTTGAATCTAGGGTTGCATCTGCAACTCTAGACCGAAAAATTTGTATCGGGTTTTTTCCAAAAATTAATTTTTATCCAAACGGCTACTCTACTTCATAACCCTTTGCACGGCTTAATAGAACACACTCTATTCTATTTCTGGTAAAAGTTTTATTGCAATAGGTGGTTTTGGCAATTTTTTACAAATTTTTGAATCTAGGGTTGCAAACCTTAGAACTGAGATGCTAAAACTGGTCTCTAGTTTTCGTTATTTTTTTTATATTTCTTATTATATTTCATTAGTTGAACTTGTCGTTTTCTTGTGAAATATTCCAGATTTTTCTAGAATGATTTAAACGTTTTTCAACCAACTGCAAATTTTGGAAAAGCTTGCAATTTTGCCCTAGTTTAAGCGCGCTTTTTTTTTCGAAAGAATGTTTTACAGGCGAAATTCTCCACGGATCTTGTGGAGATTTTTAATAAACATTTGTATGCCCAAGAAACACTTTTTGCAAACTGGCGGCAATTAATTGCGTTTGAACCTAAATAACCATCAACTATTTGCAATAGATTAGCGCTATTTACGCTGCAGCCACAATGTAATTATGCAGTATCTTTAAAAACATTAAATGTATGGATATTTTACTGTTAAATCTCTCAACTAATTCAAATAAACGATATCGCGATTTTTAAATTAACCACATTATGAACAATTACACTGGCGGTTCTAGTTGCTATTTACGAATTCTCGACCTGTTCGAGTACCATTTTAGGAAATCTTGCATAATACGTCTTGGACCGGCAGGCCCCTTTAGGTAAGGTTTAAATTTACATTTTTCCCAAAGTGTTTAACAAATAAAAACACGTAACTGTCGTTTAATTTGGGTCAGGTGAAAACAGGAAATATTGGATGATTCAGGAGGACATGGACGTAATTTAAGGACATGTGCAGGAAAACGTACAAAAAATATAAATAATTATAAACAAGCGAGTGATATTAAATGTACATTCAGAAGTTTCTAACATCGGAAAGATCCAAACGAGCTTGTTTCTGTAATGTTTCCTTTAATCTCTTTATTCTTAACTTTTTTCGCTTTACAAACGCAGCCTTAAATCGGGTTAGTAACTTTCAAACTTCCATCCAATGGACCAATGTGATCAATGGCCTGTCCGAATTTATTTAGTTTGTTAACTTGACTCACGTTCAGCTTGTGCCATAAAAAATGTTTGTTTCGCTTCTTTTTCATTGGCAATTTATTTCACGTTTTATCCCTGCCAGATGCCATTAAGGAAGGAAATAGTCTCCATGACCCATTCAGCTGGAATAGGTATGGATTTTCTTTCCAGCTTCTCAAGGCTTTAGATTATGGGAAATTGTCGTGTTTATTGCACGAAATATCACAGCATAGAGTGTTAAAGCAGACACAATTTTTAATTTGCAAAATCAACAGCGATTAGCATGGAAATGGAAGAACATCGAGTGTTTCTCCTGGCACTTCCAGAGGCATTTCCTAGTGGCGATTACTCAAAATTCCTATTGTCTGAAGCATTAATTTATGCGGGATTTGCATTTTTATAGCGGCCAAAGACGATAAATCATCCTCCCTCATACATTTTCATTATGGGCGCAAAATTCGGCAGTGGTAAATGGCCGAAAAGCTCGATTTGCCTTAACGAAAACTTGAGTTAAAATATGTACATTCACTTTTTGTACGTTTTTCTGGGCCAGTTTATTTAATTATTTATGAACCGCATTAACCCTTCTGAACTTTCCCACATTAAAAATGCAATGTACACTGACCAAGTTTATATTGAATATTGAAAGCTTTCACTGCCTTGGTCAATATTAACCAGGCATCGTTTCCTAAGGATTAATTATTTATGAATATCCTCAAAACAATAGATTTTACCAATTTTGCCTTTAACTGCGACTGTTTTTAAACTTTGTTCTTTCAAACTGAAATTTCCACCATTTGGGTCTAATGTTTTTAAAGTTTGAAGATTCCAACCGAGGACGCTTAGAGGCTTTCAGAGCATGTTCAAGTGCTACTTGAACAGTCCGGGACTCTGAAAAATCAACTTTTTCCAACAGTATTGAAGATATGAATTTTTAAAACTCCCTAAGTTCCGGAGTGTTTTTGCCAACAAGCAATCCATTCCTTTGGGTCTCGCTTAAAGTGAATCGGGTTTCAGGAGGTTTATGAATTTTTTAAATTCATCGTCTTTATGCCTCCAGATTTGCCTGCCAGATTTCCTCATTTTCAAGCGAGAAATAATTCAACCACATCGATAAGGGAAAAAACGGGAAACCATCATTGATTGATCCCCCTTGCAATCAATCTTCTAAATGGAAATCAGCACTAAAAACTCAATAAAATAGCGCAAAAATCGATAAGACCCACGCCTAATTGAACAGTGAACAAAAAAAGTTCGAACTAAAAGAATTTTGAGTGGTTCTGAAGGATTTTAGCAGCATTTAATTCATTCAGCGGGCGCATTTTTTTCGCACATTATTCATCTGTGCTTTTAAGACACTTCTGACCCTTTCACCGGTTTAAAAATAACGAAAAAAACAAAATGCAAAGTCAAGATGCTTCAGCAGGAAAGTTTTTAGTGTACACAGATACTGATGCCAAAAAATTAATGGAATGGGTTTTGAAGCGTGAAATTTTAACAGCCTTTTGCAGATAAGCGAAGAATTCGCGGATATGGATTGAATAATAAATTACGTTACGAAGTTAATTATAGAAAACCGATTTAGCACTAGGACTGATCGTGTGCGGCTCTTCCGAGAATTGATGCCAGGAATGAGCATTTTGGATTAGTTTTACTACTGTACATTTGATTTTGGTATTTGAATGGGCATATTTGCAATAATTAATTCATAGCCAATTTAACGTCTAGAGTATAAACCGGTTATTTTGGCTAAAAACAAAGTAAAAGCTTCAGCAAAGCAAATCAGAGCTTTAATTAGATTAACAAAGTTTTGAATATTTAGTGGCGATTTCTGTCATCTTAATCTGAATCAAGTCGCTAAATTTACGCTTCCACTTAGGCAGTGTAAACAAAAAGAGTAATCAGGCAAAATATTAGCAAACAAACTGAGCGATGGAATTTCATGTTGATTATTCCGTCTCGGAAAACCCATTTAGATTAGTTGAAATTTGCTGTGGTGACATCATGACTGAATTGTGATGAATGGAATTCCTTAAAAGAGCAACTATTACTTTATGTTACGAGGTTTTGCGGTTTTTATAGTAATGAATTAATCGGTTGCAATCTAGGTCAGATGCGCTTAAATGCAGCACGATCTGGCATAATAATGAAAATGCCCAGGTTGCCTTGAACCGTTTTGCGCCTAGTTTTGTCCGAAACAACATTAAAACGATCTAGTTTATGAAAAAATACGGTTTTATTGGATCATAAAGCACAATTGGTATTAAGCAGCTTCAATCAGTGGAGCATAAACTTGAAGAAAAATTACTTTTAAAATGATAACTAAAGTAAATTTTAAATGGGTTTAACATCTTTAAGAACGCATTAAATGAAAGTTTAAAAATAGCCCATGCAATGTCGGTGGTTATTTACAAAATACACCAAATTTACGAGCGGCAGGTGTCCGGGAATCTCTCTAATTTTTTAGGTAAATCCCTTGCTCAGATTATTTGGACAATGAATTTTTTTCGGACAGGTCTGGAAAAGCCCACTAAAACAACCGTAAAAATACCTTTCGATTTTTGAACTTTAAACAGGAATGTTTCTTTGAACGATTTCAACTTGACATCGAAAAATGCTGGGTATTCAGGTTCTCAATAATCGACTAGAGGATATTCGGTAATGACTTCAGTCTGATATATTTTTAGCCGGCCAGTTTTCATGACGACCTTCCATTCAAGGACCAAATTATTTAACATCATTTGCTCGATTAATCCGGCTGTAAACGGCAATCGCATAAGACGCAAATTTTTTCGAGTCATCGAAATGTCTTCAAACCGCGTTACTGAAAAACGCTGTCTTTTTTGGATTTTCCGGTCGGCTTCTTCCTTGAGAGTGTAACGAAAATCTAATTAAGTAATCGAATTTTATGGAACAGTACACGGCAATTGCAAAAAGCGCTTTAGAAGCACTGAGAAAATTAGTTTATGACCCGGAGAGACGCTATTTATTCAAGTTAATCAACCGCCAGTTTTGGGGTTTTTAATTCAAAAAATTTATTATTTATAAATTCTTTGCCAACCTCGTTTCACAGTAAAAACGGGGGAATTTCAATTAATTTGATAGCTTTGGGACTTCAGCTGAAGGCTCATTCATACTCATGCAATTTCTCAGCTGGAGCGCAGTTGCGATTTAAAAAAAGCATCCGTTTTTAAACCGATGTTCACTAAGCTCGCAAAATCAAAAATTACCGACGATTTTTATGAAACTCGCCACAGAGTTAGGGCCAAGTATCGTCCAAAAATGGTGGAAATTGCAGATTGGAATATGCTTCATTTGGGAAACTGCGGTTTTTTAAAAGCGAGAGCGCAGTTTGGCAAAAACTCGCCCGATTTTGGAACATCCAAGCTGGTAAAACTCAGGATTCTGGACGATTTTCATGAAACCCGCCCTACCGATGCAGCAGAGTGTCGCCGACAGATTGTGGAAGTTTGAAGTTGCTACTTGTGCAAGTTTGGAAGTTGCAAATTTTTAA